AATTTTTATAAATTATGATCTTTTTTCATAGCGAACTTATATAACAACCATTGTTTGGTTACTGTTTGTTGTATATAAACCAATTCAAGACGTACCGCCTTATCAATAACAATAAAGAAATGGCATATTTTAGTCTGCCCTTTAGTTATTTGGAAGAAAGCTCTGTCTGAAGGGGAATCCTGTTACGCGTGTATGTGGTCATTTTCCTCGATGCGTGCATGTGAAGTTTTTATTTTCAAGTGTTTTGGTACAGAACCGTCCGGTCTTTAATATTATTAAAAGTTGTTTAACTCGTAATAAGGAGTTTAAAGGCTTCATTTAAACTTTGTTACGATACTTTAATTAGAAGTTGTTAAAGCCTAATTAGGACTTTGATACTCCCAGTTACAACTAATTACGAATATTTTCTCATATTTAGTAGAAATAAACCTAACTACAAAAAGCCTTATTTAAACTTGAAACTTGAAAACTTGATTTAACGCCTATTTCTACATATAGAATACATATTCAATGGCGTTGTACAGCTGTATACCTTATATGTGCTACTCCCAGTGCTACCATACACAATACTCCCAGCAGTGCGACGGTCACAGTGATTGGGTCGATCCCCACCAACATGTAACAATCTACACCCCTGCACACCTGCACATGATAACACATGGGCTAGACTTTATTATATTATTGTACAATGAAAATAATAAAAACTGATAGAAATATACAAACATGCACAAAACAATTAGGAACATACAATGCCTTCAGCGTCACTTAAAAAAGTGCAAAAAAGTCCTTGAAGTAAAATGATTTCAGTTGTCTTTTGAAAATTTCAACAGATTCACATTTTCTCATATTAATAGGTAGTTCATTCCACAATTTTGGTCCTATCGTGCTAAAAGCTCTGTCAGAAAAAGTCCTCTTCTTATTAAAAGGAACAACATAACAACCAACAGAGGATTCAGATGATCTTAAGGTTCGTTTTGACACTTGATGAGACAAAAGCTCTATTAAATATGATGGTGCGTTTCCTACCGAACAGTTATACATTTATGTCTGTATCTTGAAACTGATTCGTGCTTTAATCGGAAGCCAGTGCAGATCGAATAATGCCTGTTTAGAACTATCATACTTGGAACGACCTAACACCAGTTTGGCACACATATTTTGAATACGTTGAAGTTTGGCTAATTCATTTTGAGATATGCCGTATAGAATGATGTTGCAATAATCTAAATGGGATATTACTAAAGATAAAAACAAGTGTTTTAGCGGCTCCCTTTGTCAGATACTTTCGAATGCTCTTGATCTTGAAATAGTTTAACATAGCAGTTCTACACTTTCTTTTAATGTGATCTTTGAAATTTAGAGACTCATCCAAAAAAGCACCAAGATACCGTATACAATGTTGTGATTCAATAACATTACCACATAATTATATTGATTTCTTTGGTGTTACACTTATTCAGCTGTGGACGACTTCCGAAAAGAATAAACTCTGTCTTTGAATTGTTCATTTTTAACTTGTTGCTGTTCATCCAATCATTTATATGCACTGCACAGTCCTGGAGGTCCTGAATTGCGCTTGCTTCTGCGGTAGGTGATGGTTTTAAAACGTTTATTTGCAAACGTGGTCGTCGGCAAATCCGTACACGGAAATGGAGGGAGGTACAATGTCAAAGATAGTTCCTGCGTACGTCAAGTAGAGCCAAGGGCCCAAACAGCTTCCCTGGGGGACACTACAGTCAAGTTCCCGTTCTGATGACACATTCGAGTTAACACTCACTCGACAGCTACGCGGCCTCAAATATGAATCTATCCATTCCAGCGCAGATCCAAAGACGCCATATTGACTTTCAAGAACATTTAACAGTATGTTATGGTCGACAGTATCAAAAGCAGCACTTAAATTCTAGAGCTATCAGTGCAGTGACCTCTTGATGCTCCATTGCATCAAGAATGTCGTTTACGAGTCTAAGAAGGGGCTGACTCACAGGAGTGAAACTGACGATAGGCCGACTGATTCGTTGGAAGGAGATCGTTTTTCGTTTACATGTTTATTTAGTCGATGAAGGGCGGCTTTTTCAATCAATTTGGACAAGAATGACAAGTTGCTGACGGGTCGATAGTTGGCAAATGTAAGTTCAAGACCAGATTTTTTTCAACAGAGGCCTGACTATTGCCCTTTTCCATTTAGCTGGAAAAAACACCTTGCGTCAGAGAAAGATTCACAAGCTGGGTAATCGTAGGCAAAAGTTCATTTGAAGAAATGATTTCAATACTTTGGTGGGCAGAATGTCAAGCTCACAAGATTTAGTTTGTAACTGACTTATGAGCATTTTAATCTCATCCTCTGTAAGACTTTCGAAAGATCCAAACGGTGGTACGTCTTTGACCAAAGGTTTATAGTTTTCAAAATCTTTCAGAGAATCACGTATCTTCTTGATCTTGTCCATAAAATGGTCTGCGAATTTATCCGCAAGGGTGTTTTCATCTTCCACTAATGGCATTGGGTTTTCTGACTTGCTTCACCAACTGATAAAGCTGGAAGAAATGAAATATTATTGAGAGTTGGGAATTAAACTCCTAATTAGGACTTTATTTCTCCTAATAAGTTTTTAAACTTGTAATTAGGACATGCAAAGTCCAAATTAGTTTTAACACATAAAAACAGTAAGGCCATGAAGCGACTTTCCAGTTTTACTGGTGAAGGAAGATCTCTGATGCAATTCCGGGAACGAACGTCTTGTATCTCGCTTGATAGCTTACTCACATGAAAGAATCCCTGGCGGGAGTTGAACCTACAGCAGTGAGAGGCAAGTATATGACCATCCGTCTGGTTCTAAATTTGCAAAAGAACGCAAAGCAATATACTTAAAAGATCAAGATTTTATGCAACTTGCATTATATGCTTAGTCGTATACTATACTTTAGGTTCTAATTGAGAACCATCAATTCTGATTAAGAACCCTCCGTTTTGATTAAGAACCCTCAGTTAAGATTGAGAACCCTCGGTTCTGATCAAGAATCCTCGGTTCTGATTAAGAACACTCAGTTCTGATTGTGAACCCTCGGTTCCGGTTGAGAACCCCCATTTTGATTAGCTTACTCACATGAAAGAATCCCTGGCGGGATTCGAACCTACAGCAGTAAGAGGCAAGTATATGACCACCTGTCTGGTTCTAAATTTGCAAAAGAACGCAAAGCAATATACTTAAAAGATCAGTATTTTATGCAACTTGCATTATATGCTTAGTCGTATACTATAACTTAGGTTCTAATTGAGAACCATCAATTCTGGTAAGAACCCTCCGTTTTGATTAAGAACCCTCAGTTAAGATTGAGAACCCTCGGTTCTGATCAAGAATCCTCGGTTCTGATTAAGAACACTCAGTTCTGATTGTGAACCCTCGGTTCCGGTTGAGAACCCCCATTTTGACTAAGGATGTAGGAGTGTAGGACAAAAGCCCCCACCGCCATCTTAAAATGACAAGGTGGACAAAAGCCCCCCTCATGAATTTCACACATAAGACAAAAGCCCCCCCCCAATCAAAAATACAGGTAGGACATGGGGGACTTTTGTCCACTTTGACATCTTTTAATTGAGAGAGGGGGGGGGGCTTTTGTCCTACACTCCATATAGCAAACTAGTAAATTAAGAGGTTAACTAGTTAGTTATATGGTTATCTGGTGGCAGAAATATGCCACCATATGTATGCATGAAATTTACGGTGCAGTATTCCGAAAATGATTTATAATGTTTTTGAATTCTTGAGCACTTAAGACGGCGTAAAAAGTGTCGTACACGTTGGACACATATAAAAGTAATTTCGTTAAAAAATTAGACGGCACTAATTATAGCAATCAGTATCGATCTATACAAAACAGAACAGAACATGAACTTTATTTTTTAGTCTTGAGCATTTCGCTCTTCTTTTATACAAATGTATACATTTTTGTTTAACAGAAAAATAACAAGTGTATTATCTTTTCCAGCCAAGTATTTTAGTAAATTGTCTACATTCTATAAGATGAAACTGTTCATTGTGTTACTTGCCACGTGTGCACGAGTATCACTACAAACTTCTGTTGAGGAATCATCAAAGGATGTCGTTCGTTATTTCCTGCCACAGCTATGCCAAGGTATAAATGCTTGTAATGGAAACCAAACATCTGGAAATGACCGGACACTGGAGCATTGCTGTACCGGTAAGGCTACTTTTAAATTGTATAATGTCAGGGATATGTAACGCCACAAGTGCACAAATCTCAATGTCTTTTAGTCATACAATAACTTGTATAAGCTAAATTATCATACCTTTAACTTGAAATCAAAAGGATTTTTCTTACTTTCATATTTTTAATATAACAATAACAATAATTTTGGAAAAACGGAGTGAGCGAAGGATCTGAAATTTTTCACTAAAGTAATTGTTCTAGACCTGCATCAAGTGGAATATTAATGTCGATAATTCTACTCCAGTCCTTTCATGTTCAAAAACTTCAGTGGAGTCCCTTAAACAGAATCAAAAACGAAGTTACTTCCGTTAAAAGAATCATCAAAACTTATAGACAACTTATTCAAATACGGCCATCTTCTTTAAAAGTAAAAAGTTAAAACTTCGCTAAAGAAAAATCACAACTAGGCCTACAGTGAGCACCAAAGTGTGTTTAAAGTTTATACAGGCTATAAACCTGAAACAGTATATATACACAATAGAGTTGTTAGTTTTATTATCGACTAAATAATCAAGGAACAAGTCATAAGTCGTCATTAAACACCTTAAAATTGAAAAAAGTGAGTATGGCTCAAAAAATATATATTTTATATATATATTTTTTAAATTTTACGGAAATTTTTTACTTGAAAGGTCTTTCTATCCACAACTAGACCATCTGCCCGTTGCATAAAAAGTCACCCAATGCATTGTGAATTACTTCCCATAGAGGTACACTTCTTTATTTAACTCAATGGAAATCTCGTTCGAATGAGATAATATGTTGTAAGAGCGAGATAATGTCTCGTGGCCATGAGATAAATAAAGATGTGCCTTGTCACCTCTGTGTCACTATTAACATCTAAAATATTGTAATAATCATATCTATTTTAATATCAGATTGCTCCTGCGACCCTTCTTGTGAGCTCAGTCGGAATTGCTGTTTTCCTAAAGAAAGTTCACCCACTGCGGATACTTCTGTTTCGGATAGGGAATGCCTTTACCCGATGACAATGCAAGTTCTAGGTTCATTTCGACGACTTTATCAATCTTACTGGATGGTTAACGATGTCAAGAACAATAACAAAATTAAAACATATTCTAATCAAACAGCTTTGAAATGTGGAGATGTGAAAGTTGCTCCCTGGGGATCATTCATGCCTGTATTTTCAAAAGAGAAACAGAAAATTTACAAAAACACGGCGTGTGCTGAAGAAGATAACGTGAGTGATGGCATATTGTGGGATTTCCAAATTATTTGTAAACAGTACGACTCTTCGGCGCTTACAAGAGATGCATCTAGTTACATCTCGAATTTGTACTTAGCAACAATTCCAAGGTACTGTCGCTTGCATTTCAGATATCCTGGGGATATCTCGGACCTTAAGTCTGAAAGATGCTTCATGGATTTGATAAACACATGCAAAAACAAAGAGTTCACTGTACCAAAGCGCATGAACCTAACTTCGTCCCAAATCAGAGAAGCTTGCACAAGCGGTCTTGTTTCTCCTTATAGAGCTCGTAATATGTATGCAAATGTATTTTGTTATATGTGCAATGGCTACCAATATTCAGAAAAAGAAACATGCTTTATTGATGTAGATGGTATCAGGGGATTTACTGGAAGTTTAATTACCATACTCCTAAACGGCCAGTTCGTGACAGAGAACTTTCGTAGAATAAAAGAAGCAAAAATAGTAAAAAGATTGCCACTTGCGTGCCCTAAACAATGTAAGGTTGACAAGGTGGGTATTTGTGTAGTTGATATGGTACAGTGTATCTGTTCTTTAATCTGTTTTAAGAAAAGAATATTTTGCCGTCTGTGCATTTAGCGCTATAAATTACTTCTTGAAAAGATAAGAAAAATGTCAACAGTTGACGCCGTAGAAATAACCTTCGCTGGAGTAATAACTACTTTATTCCACAATATGTTTACAATGACTACCCATTTTAATATGTTGGCAGAAAATTGCTTCTCCGAGTACAATATAGATTTGATATGTTTTATTGGACTAAGAAAAATAAAACGAGACTAGACTTAGTAAAATATGGATTATAGATAAAGAATACTTTGCACTCGGAATATGAAAACAATGCTAGATAGGGTATATTATTAATTTGATATGATTTTTTTAACTCTTGAAATGACAATGCGAAATTGATAAGATATTGGGTCCAATTATAAGTTCTTTTGGAACATCACGTGGTAAAAACGTTGAAAGTTTATTGGTTAAAATTTATTAGACGTGAAATAAAAAGCAATATTACACGGACATCTATTTAAATGTTACATCCGAAATACTCTTTTATTTGGAGTACCTGCAATGCATGATTTCTAATAAATGTCACTACTGGGCCACTGACCATGTATATCATCATTATCACAATCGTGATCATGATAATCAGTTACCATTATAATCTTATAATTATTATTTAATTATCATCATCAAAATCATCATCACAATCATCATTACAATCATGATAATCATTTAGCATATTATTTTATCATAATAATCATCGTCATCATCATCATTATGACTCTGGTAGTTGCTTCTGCCGTCGTTATTTGCATCATCATGAGTACATAAAAATTCACTTGTAAGTTTTCTAGTCTTTTTCCTCATCCCCCCCACACACCGTTTTCTTCAGTTTTGTTTGACTTGGTTTCGCATTTAAATTCAGCTTATTTCATATTTTTAAGGAACAAGACTCTTGCAGACCAATTCATTGTTCGTCTGGTCACGAACGAGATAGAAATAGTAACTGCGTGTTTGTGGTCAAGAAATTGTTCATGAAAAGATGTGTAGTTCACTTAAAGCTTACGGCAGATTCCGATTTTGACATTGAAGGCACATTAATTTTTAACAGCAAGAACTTTAGTTTGAGTCATCAATGGCCAAGGATCTGGACGATAACATCTGTCTCTTATGAAGTCCTTAGCACAAACATGCGCAGGAATCTCTATATTTACATGGTCAATATGCTTCCGAAGACGAACACAGCATGGTTGTTACGAAACATTCAAAAGTTCATAAAACTGCCGTGGACTTTAACATTGAGAAATGAAACCAAGGTATCCATGTTCGCGGAATTAGGATTCGCCACTAAGAACCTCTTCAATGACAATTCAGCAAGCGATTTTAATACAGAAGTGGCCGTCGAAAGGTTAAAACACAAAGTCCCACAGTTCAACTATTTGTATAACATTCAAAACCATCGGTCTGACATGAGTATGATTATCGTAACAAAACTGTATTTCTGTGAGCAGATAGAACTGAATTCATCAGAGTATGAGATTTTGGAGAACGATGTCTTATTTAACAAGATAACCAATCAAGTACTGTTTAATGGTGAATATTCAATTATAATGGCAGCGAATGTTGATGGAGAAGAAGCGGTTGAAAAGGCCAGAATCTGTCTTGAAGATTCTGGATTGGTGAAGATAGATACGAATGAAGATATAAACGCTGCAAGTAAATTTGAATCCATCGAGTATGCTGTATTAATGTTCCTGTTTCCAGCTATCATGTGTATGTTATTTGCCTGATAAAAAATATTGCGGACAATCCTGAATGTCAGAGTGATTCTTTGGAAGAACAGACTTTGCGACCGCCAGTATTTCTCTCTTGTAAATACATGTATACATATCTGTTAGTAACTTGCTTATCTTCCTGCAAATTCATTTCAAAATGCTTAAAAATATACCAAAACGCAATTAAAAGATGTGTACATAGGACATTTATGCCTCCACTTTGCTGTTAGAGTGGCACGTTTATGCACCCTCTTTGCTGTTAGAGTGGCACATTTATGCCCCTCTTTGCTGTTAGAGGGGCATATTTATATCCCCCTCTGTTTTTAGAGTGGCATATTTACGTAGTAAGAACATATTTTTTGTAATAGCCTCTCGTTCCGTTCCGTTCCGTTTCGTTCCGTTTCGCAAAGTACCAATAGCCTGTAATAGTATTATAACTACATGTTTCGCTTATCTATGACTGAAAAAAAACACTCTTGGTCTTGATTAGATAGATATCTTAATCATATGACCAAAGAAATTAATAGGCGTCTCCTACAGGTAATGGGCAATGTTTCTAAGAATCTTCATAAACATGAGAGTATGACGTCTAAAGTTAGAGGTAATACAAGGAATTAACGCAATGTCACTGTGACCTTGACCTCAATGACATCAAAACAAGCACGTGATTTTAAGTTAAAAACAACTTAGTCGTTTTCCTTCACATGGTGACCTTGACCTTATAAACTCAATGTGAATAGAGGTCATCTACAAGTCATGACTAACCTACAAACTTAATCACAATTTTACGCAAGCGAGTTTTCGAGTTTTTTTGTCGAAGGCATTTTAGGGATACATGTCACTTTGACCTTTGATCTACTTACCTCAAAACCTATAAGGGTCATCTTCTAATTTTCCTCAAGTTATTGATCAGGTTTGTTTTGTTTGATTTTGTTCAAATCAACACTGTGGAGGTTACATGTGGCGACTTTTCTACTTTTTTTCTGATTGAGTTGGAAACCTTATGTTCCTCTTCGGACATTATTTCAGGCACGAGCGGTAACCTGAGTAGAACCACCGACTTTCTGTAAGCAAGCTGGATAGCTTCCTCACTTAGAAGAAACCAAAGTGCCCAGCGGGATTCTAATCCACGGCGGTGACGAATTGCGAATACAAACATGTTTCGTCTTAAAATATTTGCAGAATCTGTTAAAGCTGCATGCCTCCAGAGCAGTGGAAATATTTCAAGAATTTCAAAAAGTAAAAAGGTTTTATTTAAGTTTCAAGTAATAATTTATACATTTTGTGTGATTAATGACCTATCAGTGAAATAAGAGTCATTGACGTGCCTATAGTATAACGTTAACGTTAAGCGCGTCTTTACACTATGTTTGTATAACGCTAATGACGTCACGTCAAAATATATGCACAGCCGTGCAATACCATATTTACGGAGTTGCAAAGTCGGTGTGTGATAAAAATAGAATATTAAATTCGTGTAAGTTCATTACTGAATTAATTGAACTCGTTGAATAAAATAATATTATGCTCGCCAGAGGCTCGCATAATATAATTTTATAGTACTCGTGCAATAAATTCAGTATTGAACTTACACTCATTCAATATCCTATATTTATTGGGATATTTGTAAGTTGTAGTCAAACTGATACTCTGAATTAAATGATTATGGTAACGAATCAGGGCCACCTGTTGATATATTCACTGGTCCTGCGCGCATTTAAAGCTGTTCTTTTCATTGTTTAAAAATCTGCAGTTTTTTACGCTTCAAATTTGGATCTTTGGTGAAATTATCATAATTTTTAACAAGAAATGTTTGTGAAATGTGTATTAATCGCCAATGGTAATCAACCAATTATCTCATATGGACCTCCAAACTGTTAACTGTGTTAAATGTCACATACATAGAACAAAAAGGACCATCTATACTTTACCGGAACATATATATATTTGATAATGATAAGTAATGGTATGTAATGTTTTTGTTTTGTTTTTTTTGTCAAAGATCTATACAAATTAGAAATAAAGTGCGGGGTTATGTCCACTCAAGTAAAATTAAAGGTGTGGGGGTATTGTCCACTCTATGAAATTTTGAGATGTTAGATTTTGACGTGCGGGGTTTTGTCCTTCTTCCCAAAAAGGGTCATCTACAGATAAGACCCACTGTGCCAACAAGTTTTAGGACTTCAAGTACGTTCTTTAGTTACTCATCAAAATAATTTTGATTGTCAAGGTCACAGTGTCCTTGACCTTTTAAGAACTGACTTCAAAATCAACGAGATACATTAACTTGATAAGACAATGCTATTCATTAAACCAGAGGATAACTGGTCATTAAACATATCTTTTATCAAGGGTACCTTGACCTTTTACCTACTTATCTCAAAATAAATTGGGACATCTGCTTTTCTGACTAACTTTCACCACACATAAACTATCTAGCTTACCTGATGTCTACTTTCACAAGAAAAGCTTAAAATGTACAGTATTGGTGCATGTAAAATCTAACCAATCTCTAGTTATTTGTTTAGCAAGATTTCATGGTATATGCAATCTCTACACTATCTTTACATTTGATCTACGGTCCTTTAAATAAATAGTGGTCATTAACTAGTATTGCTTAATATTCCCCATCAATCCTAATACGATAGACCAAAGCATTTAGTAGACAGACAGTTTGATGTAAAAGGTCACTGTCCTTGACCTTTGGTGTACTGACTTTAAAATCAATAGGGGTGATCTGATATGTCCTGAAACAATTCTTTTTAAACTTGTTAAGAATGGGATACATATATAGTTACTAAAACACAATCCATTTAGCAAGTTCATGGGCCATTTTGCAGTGCTGATATAAATGGGTCATCACCGGTTTGGTGATTACAGATTATTGACCACAAGAAAAATTTGATCTTTCTTTTATAAGGATAATATATTAACTTGTGTTGTAAACTTACATTGGTGTGAACTTTAAAAAAATCAAATTTGATTTATCGAATGTCTGTACATAACAATTATGGAAATTAAGTATATCTATCCCTAGCTTGTCAAGAGTTTGTGAAAAATGTGGTTTTGAGCAATATATATGGATGATCATTTCCATATCAAATCTACCAACAGAACTTGGGGCATCTGTGATGTTATGGCATGTATGACAGAAGGCTATAGCTTTATTTTAGTCAGGCAAGGTTTTTGATTACAGAGACTGACCAACCATGGTTTAGAGCAGTTGTGGCCTGCGGTGTCAGGTGATTACAATAGCTTGGCATAATGAATAAAAAGACAAATTCCACATATTATTACAATTCAAAAGTCAAGTCTAAAAAGACATTTTTAAACTTTTATTTGGAAAACATAATTATAAAAATAACAGACAAAAATATTTCTTAATCATTTTGATTGAATTGGACTGTTTTTTTTTTATAATCTATGTTCTTATATACACATCCAAATAATAGACAAGAGGGCCATGAAGACCACTCACCGAGATCCAGATGCACAAAAGGTCATATTTCCTTAATGGAAAGTAGGTCAGACCGAAGTGTGGCAACTTATATTGAGATCCATTTGGCCATGTTACATGCTGAATATCTAAGCTTCAGTCCATGTTATTTTACACAATGAGATTTAATTATGTTTTTCTATAGAAGTCGTTTTTTTTTTACCAAGTGACTATTGCGAACGGGCCATATTAACCCCAATTGGCATAAACCATGTAGCTTTTGCAAAGAGCCATAACTTGATAAGGTTATAATGTATAATAAATTGATCAGCTATGGCTTAGTAGTTTCAAAGAAGATATGTCAAGTTAGTTACTTGTATAATTCAATCTAACAAAAGAGATCTTACTTAAAAGAACAGACTCATTTTTGCCTTAAGTTAAGGCCATGATTCTTAAAACTTTTGTAAAGGTCCACTTCTACAAAAATTGCTTTTGCTTTACATGTCTAAACACAAAAAGAGTAAGTATAGTTCTTACAAGCATATTTAAAATTTTTAAAACTCTGGGTGAACAAGAACGTGTTAGTTAAACACAAATGCCCCCCGCTCAGATTCTTGTCAGTAACGATATTTAAAATAAAGGCTGTATGGGCAAAAGTGTAAACAATCTATTTTAGCACTGGTGACCTTGACCCAATTGACCCCTAACTCCATCCAAAGGAAGAATATCATGCAACTTATTTTCCTACCAAATATGAAATAAATCTGTCAATATATAAAGGCTGTATGGGCAAAAGTGTAAAAATCTATCTTTAGCACTGTTGACCTTGACCCAACTGACCCCTAACTCCATCCAAAGGAAGAATACCATGCAAGTTATCTTCCTACCAATTATAATACAAATATGTGGATAAATAAAGGCTGTATGAGCAAAAGTGTAAAAATCTATTTTTAGCACTGGTGACCTTGACCCAACTGACCCCTACCTCCATCCAAATGTGAATACCTCAATTTTATGTTCCTACAAAATATACAAGATATCTGTCCATAGAATAAGGTAAATACACCTGAAAAAGTGTAAAAAATCTAATTTTGACATTGGTGACCTTGACCCAAATGACCCCTTACTAAAGGAAAAGGAAGAGGACCTCTCTTGGTATGACTATTATAATCATGAAATACACTAACTTAAAAATAAAGGCTGTATGAGCAGAAATGTTTAGATTAATTTTTTTACACAAGTGACCTTGACCTTGACCTAAAGACACCTGACACCACAAAAAATTAGAGGAACATTTAAGCTATCCACCTACCAAATATGAAAGATATCATCAATAAGGTGAAATTTTTTTATAAATCCAACTTGGCGGAATAGGTTAACCATACAAGGCCCTATTTTCAAAGTGATAAAAAGGGAAATTACTGGGAATATGGATGACACATATATATAACTTGGCAATATCATGTACCTTGTATTGATAAGTAAGTGTGAAAATTATTAAGCCATTAGTTCAGATAGAACATAAGACATTTCCAACTTTCCGGTTAAGGTTAACCATTATTCATTTTCTAAGTGCTGAAAAGGGCCATAACTTGGTGCAAATGGAAGCCATAGTTATGTAACATGCCCAGATCATATACTTTGTATGAATTAGTAAGTGTGTAAATTAAAAAGCCATTGGAACAGGTAGAACTTTAGAAAAATCCAACTTGCCGTTCTAGGTTAACCTCATACGGACAGACGGACGGACGTTCC